TCATATATTATCAATTCTATCATAATATCTAATAGTCATGAATCTATAATATACCGACCATCATCATAATCTTATTATTTAATTTCTCAAGCTCATCATTATAAGAATCAATATCGAAATATACAAGCCATTCAAATACTCGTGATAACCTATCATTCATAATTATCTAATTTATTATCACTCTTCTAATTCATCCTATAATCTTATCTTTTTTATAAAGTCTAATCTTCATAAGTCCTTCGAAATCTTATCTATATCTATTGAGCGAGGTCCAATAAATTGTAATTTTATTTATTCGTAATATTGAAAATTTTAATAAGAAATAGATATTAAATAATATTACAAAACTATCATATCGTTATTCAAATTTCTTACCTTCATCGAATATCTTCGAACTAGGTTATTACTAGATAGAAAAAGATATAAAAAAGAAATAAGTTATTAATAGTGTATATCAGTATATCCCTATTCCTTAAATATGTCTTGTCTCGGTATACCATATCTATTTCCATTTCTCATCTCTAGCCCGAATCTGAATGATATGTGGTAGTTCGAACATGGTATATCTACACTAGTAATATTGTAATATCTTATAATTGATTCGTACGGATCGGTCCCGATTTATATACGAACCCAAGAAACGATCAGTTTTTCAGCAGGGAGAACAGAATTCATAGATCCACTGCCTCCTCTACCTGCAGCAGGTGGCAAATTCATTCAGCATCGGCAGGCTTCGGCTTGAGAGCAGAGCACTGTTACCTGCCTCGTCGATTTTTCGTCGTTGTCTTAATTCCGCCCCGGCAGCCTGCAATCCCAAGCATCAGGGATGAAAGCGTCGCAACATGCAACATCTGCTGCCGCCATCGTTCTCTGCTTGAGACATCGGCCTGCGATTCTCGCGCCACACTTGACGACGAACCCAGCACCTGGTGACAATGTGAATGGAACATGTATCCAAACACGCACCCAGCGGATGCCTGTAGACCTTGGCCCTCCCCATGTTCGAAAAGGCCTTCATCTCCACCTTCTCCTTGATCTCGTTGATCTTTTCATCAACCTATGCTCACGAACAACTCTACAATGACGTACAGCCACGAGAGGCTGGCGACAGTCCCGCACCTTGAGTACCATGCTCCGAAGCAAGCTGAGTCCAGTGAAGGAGAGCAGGTAGTCCGCGAAGAACTGCAAAAGAATAACAAAGCTCAACAGCACAGTTCGAGGGTGAAAGGCGGTGCAAGTATGTGCATGTGTCAGTCTGAACAACCGCTCGACTCTTACATGGTCCCGTCTTGGATTCTCGCTGCTTGCTGAGCATACGCCAAGAATTCACAAAATTGCCTGTGTTATAGGAAAGTCCAAAGGGGAACCATGCCTTTTCAAAAAGCTTTTCACAGGATAATCTTAGTCAGCATCTGTTTCCAAAGCTTTCGGGGCAGTAGGCGATTGGTCCCTTACGCTTTCTCATAGAGGCTTGAGATTTTGGCTTCGGGCTTCGAGGGTTTCGGACCATGCTCGAAGTTCAGCATAGAACGGCGTTGCCTTTCTCTGGTGGGTGCCCTTACGCCTGTTCTCTCGTGGCTGTGCGGTCATTCGAGAAGGCTTGTGCTGCAGTGAAAGGCATGCGCCCAGTGACTGGTGGTAGTGCTGCTGCATCGGCATGTGGGCGGTAGTGCTTCTGTGCACAGCACGGTGGATCAAACTTGTCAATGTTCTGCCGCTTCAGGCGGTTGCTGTGCCACCTCTCCATCCAAACCTCTCTTGGAGGCTTTGTCCAGGGCAAGCCCGGACATGCTGCTGCCGGCTTGCTCTTGGCACTGCTCGCTGCCCGGCATCACGCCGTGTTTCTAGGGGGAGCCGGATTCGTGGGGTCTGCTCTTTTTGCCCGCACCGATCCATGTGGGAGCTTTCTCTTGGTGGTCGAAAAATGCAAGCCCCGTCTTCTTCTTGCGGCGTCCGGAAGCCGAGAGGTTTTCGGTTACCAGCTACAGTCTCCTTAAAATGCTTCTATGTTGTAGGATTATCATCTGGGGTTTCATGGCCTCCTTCACGGCCGGTTCGGACATGGACGCTACAAGCCGACCACACGTGTGTTACGAGTAGCATCCGTTGCTGTCACTAAGCCAAGCGCCAGGATCTCGATCATCCCACCCAGCCAGGACTGTAAGTCCGAGTAGTGCGGCATCTGCACCTGGCAGGCAGAAGGGATCTGCATCTGCAGCTTTCAGCCGGTGAAGACCCTTTGATGTTCTAAAAGCAGGCTTAAAAAACGCTGTCAGAGGTGGGTGGACATGCAAAGTGCAGCTGGGAGGCACAGAAGTGAATGCAGCATCACTGGGGCTATTGCGATTCAATACTTGCTTGGGATGGGATCGTTCGTTCGTAGTGACTGGCGGAACACGACTTCTGCGAGGTGTAGGCAGCATAGTGCTCATTGGCATTATCAGGCTTTCGCTTACTTCCTGAATTTGGGGAGGTGCCGTGTTCTTATGATGTAGAAGCATCTCGTCCTAGCATGCGTTGACTTGCATGGCGACCTGCCTTTTGATCACATGCCCAGCGTGCGGATGCGGGCCCGCCCCAGACAACTTTTGTGAGACGGTCTAAGCTCTAGTAGTTTGGAGAGTGGCTTTGGCTAGGTGCAGCTGTGGAAGCGTGGGTTGAGCTGAAAGGTTTTTGTGCTCTCCCCAAACTTGAGCACATGTTTGCAAACACCTCTATGAAACATGGTTACACATGGCGGTGGAGCTTTGGCGTTCTGGGTCAGACTACAGCTCGGCCTGTTGCAAACATGGCCAGGTGCATTAGGGGCACAGTGGTGTCCTCCTACGGGACGTCCAGCTCTCGAAGGTCGTGTTACGACCTTCTGTGGCATGCTGGGCCATTTGTACAGTTTGCCTGCGGCAACCAATTCGAGTCCTGGCGTGCGAATTGAGAACATATAGCCGATCCTGCAAGGTCTTGCTTCAACACTGACAACTCTGGCTGAGCACGGAAGCAGACACGAGAAAATTCCGGGCGTGCATCGAATTCGTCATGATGCAATCTCCATCGAATTGGATTGAGAGCTGCAGAAAGCAACCCACCGAATCTCACCTTCCCCGACATTGCCCAACTTCACGCCAAAAGCACTGTGGAGGAACAGCAAGCCTCTCTCTTTAGCTGAAAGCCCTTGGAATTTAGCCTTGTGGGGCAACATCACTGGCTACCTCTAAAGCAAAACGTAACATGCCTCACCCTTTTGGCCAAGGCCATGCAAACAAGGACGAGCTACATTGATTTCTGCTGCCACACAGAATTCCGAACCTGGAGCCCTGCCCAGGTTGATTTTTCTTCGACCCCGGGTCGTCCCAAATGCGAGGACACAGCACAAATTCTCCGATGCAACGAAAAGAACTGCAGTGGCCGAAGCAACCCCCATGCACAACAACTGCCGATGATGGTTCTCTACTCATAAGGAAAGATGGATCCACACACACACACACGGGATGATCAACAGGGGAGCTCCTACAGAAAGCAACAACAATGCAAGCGACTCAGCGACGCTATGATGTAGCGGGCTATGTACGCTGGGCTTCAGGCAGAGCTCACGGAGCTATTCTGACTGGCGATCCCTAGGCTCATCAATGCTCAGCTGAAGTAGCTTTGCTCACACGCCACGAGCTTCGCCACCAAAGGAACTAAGGAGTTGAGGTCATCAGACCTGCCATGCAAGAAAAGACCGTTGCCATGCCTGTTCTTGGACTCCAGTGGAAAGACATGGACGAAACCTCCTCCTTGCATGGTCGTGCCAAACATGCCGGTCCAACGCTGTCGTCGCCTCACTGAAAGCCTGCTCGACACCCGAAGCGCTGTGGAAATACACACCGCATCTTCGAGCACACGTTTGCAGTGAATGGTGACCTCGTCAATGTCTTCAGGAAGGAACATTGACGAATCTCGAGGCCTGCAGGCACTAATCAAATGACAGAGATAATCAGTGCGGAAAACGGGCTCGCTTTGTTCGTCTAAATGAGAAAAACAAAGTTTGCTCACATATTCTCACCAGCATGGACGCTAAAGAAGCTAGTGTGAGGCATGGTCGTTTTCCGCTCCGGTGTTGTATATTGCCTCAATGTCGCAGTATGACTTACATAAGCATGCACATACAACATGCACTTCTGTATTTATACCTGGAAAAGGACTGTAGTGATGCCTTGCCATGTTCATGTCTTCGACGGCCAGAGCACTACCACCCTTAAGGCCCTGGCCAAGGAACTGCGGTGCCAGAGAGGCTGTTGACCTACAGAAAAGGCATCATCTAGGCCGGCCGGAAGCGGGGCTGGACAGTCTCCCTAAGAAATATGTCAGTGGGGATCCGCCCGGATCGTGCACCTGCAAGTCCACTTGAGTGGTTTGCAATTCATGGCCGGATCATGTGATGGACTTAGTCAACACACTGGTGCTGAGATGCACATCCATCAAAGGCGGCGGAGAGGGGAAAGCCAACTCTGGGATCCCTGCAGAAGCGTCATCTTTGGTCAGACTCTTGTACAGCTTCTGCGGGGTGGGCGCAGAACTTCCACCAGCAGAAAGTCATGCACCAAAGTAATGTCTCTCCGATCAGACCCATGCGGTACTGTTGAACAAATGACTGCACGAGACGAGCAAACTCCAAGTACAAGTAACGCTCGGAGGCCGTCCTGGAAGCGCTGGGTTCCCATCCTTGCCTGCGGCAGTTTTGAGCGAGATCACTAGTCTGCATGACTCCCAATGGGCAGAACATGTTAATGCTAGCCGCTACTCATGTAGCATCATTCGAGATCCATCCGAGACCGATGTTGAAGGCTACTAGCTTCTCTTGGGATGGTGTGGCTGGGACGGGTTGGCACATGAAGCACAGAAGCCCCGAAGAGCAAATCTCATGATTCATCGACTGGCCCAGAAGCTTTCACGACGACAGCTGGTGCCAACATGGGACAACATGGACGGGCATGACCCGGCCTCCAAGCATGCACGGATACCCTCAATCCTGTCGCCAATGCCTGTTAGCAGCCATGGAGTGATAAGCTCGTGCAAGGCAGCAGGGCCCAGTGATGCCCTGAACGTCTCCCAGGGCCCGAGCTGACGCTCTTCTTGGAGTCGTCCAAGGTGCACTTTCGAACGCCTCTGGCTCAGTGACTCGGCCCAAAGTCCAAAGTCTGCAGCGGCTGAGAGGGAGCGCCTTGAGACTCGTCGCCTTTGGGAAGCACCTCCAGCACGAAAAAGGGACCCCCTCAACTGTACACTGCAAGCATCATGAACGCAGCGGATCTGTCCATCAGCTTCAACCCATGCATCACAGCGAATCACGGCAGCGCGAACCAGATTGCAAACTGCAGAGCCTCGCAAGTCTTGGGCGAAGGACCTGAAGCATTGGCTCGAAGGTAAAGCCCCACAGCCTCTGCTTTGGCCCTCGAGCCTTTGATGGCCTTGTACGGCTCGGCTAAAGGTGAAGGGGACGAGAACTGCACTGTTCTTCATTTCCCCGGTTTTATTTTTTGTAATCCCCACGAACTTCCGGACTTGTTACCTCTTCGAGTATCGTAGTGTTCAGGCACATTCGATCACTCGAAGGCGGATCGGCACCGACATCTGAGTGCGGGACATCCGAGGGTCGATGGGCACTTCGAACTTTGAAGCGGCGCCTCTCCCTGACAAGAAAACATCGCACTTCAATTCTCTAGGCTGCGGCACTGTAGATGCGAGCATCGACGACGGGTAATCGAGTTCTGGAATGAGAAACCTTCCTGGCCTCTGCAAAGTCACTGGACACGTTGACGGCAGAGGCCTGCAATCGTGCTCCCTTGAAGAAGGCAGCAGACGCAGTTCTGTTGTGACTGCTACAGGTTTAATGAATGGAGAATAACCGTGGGCAACAAAGCGAGCCGCTCAGGGAACATGGGAAGCTACTTGTCACCACGTTATGGAGCAAGTACACGCTGCTGTCGAAGACGGTGGTTTACAAGGCATTGAGATCACATGATGAGCCTTGGCTCCCAGATCGATGCTGGCCTCCGTCGTATGCCCATCCAAGAAGGTGAAAGGCTTCGCAGTGTCGCTTCCGGCACGAAAAACCTTGGGCCCGGGCCAGCGGCACCATGTCCTTCGATTGCAACGTCCGTTCCGGAGCCGGGCGCTGCCAGAGCGCCTCTCAGTGTCCGAAGCTCCAACAGCCCAACCTACTTATAGCACGTACGTTCGCTTTCGGGCGACTACGGCGACTACGGCTACATCGTCGTGGCGATGTATTTCTGCACACCTCAGTCAATTCCGGCCTGCAGCGGAGTGTCGGACGGCGTCCCTCCCAGGTCCGCTGGCCCGCAAGGTGTCTCTTCGGACTGGCAGGCCGTGAAAAGTTCTCGTTTCTTGAAAAAGCCCTCGCACTCGCCGGCTCGACATTGCAAAAGGTTGTACATAAGACGTGCAAACACTAGGCCGGAATGAAATTAAGTCGGCATGCTATGAGGCAGTCATTGTGGTTTGGCCTCCGACGCATGGACATCTTTCGACCGTGCTCGATTCCTTGGCTCTTTCAAAACCTGACACAAACGCCACTTGCATGAGTCCTGAGGCCGAAGCGTTGCCGAGCGCCTGGACACGAGCAACAGCACTAAATCAACCTTTGCATCACAAACAATGCTCGCTACAAGTGGGGGTTTCCGAAAAAATAGGGGACCCTCATATAGTGCCCCAAACAGTAGGACCCTTATTATAAGGACCCCCAAATAAGGTACCCCCTGTTTTAGGAAACTCCCAAGTACTACGCTGCCTCGTGTCATCGAGTCCAGCTGCTGGCTCCTGCACAGCACAGTAAAAGAAATGCTACATTCTGCTATCATGAAGGGGAGCGTTGCTGTGCTGTCGTAACCACAGTCTGGTTTTGGGAACGCGCAGAGCGCATCCGATGCTGTATCCAAGGCTTCTGCGCCATTTCTGCGCCACAACGCACATTCAAAGGATGTCTGACATTGTCTGACCATGTGAGTCGGTGAAAGTCCTCAACGGTCATGACAGGAAATCCAGGACAGTAGATTTCTGTCCTGCGTCGTGGAAGGGTAATGGAAGCAGCGAAGCTATGATGTATTGCTTGGCTTCTGCAGCCTTGTCGTTATCTAGTTCTTCGCTTGTGCAGACCACGGCTACGCTACGAGGTCCTCCATTCCTGGCGAATCCTCGGTTCATCCGGAGTGGCTTCGCGCTTCGTCGCGCTTCGCAGCTTGGGCTGGACCCACAGAATGGGATTGGACGAAGCAAGACAGGCGATTCAGGACTCTCGGTCATGCGATTCTCAGCCCAGTGGCTGCGAAGGTCTGGGCTTCTGCACCCGGCCCAAGGGTTGCCTGGGGCTTGGAGACGACGCATCCCGGGACCTCGTTCGCAAAAGAGGCTTACGGCTCAAAGAAGCCTGGAGGACTTGCCGTCGAAAGTTGCATCCTAGTAGCTCGTTCATGCGAGAAGCCGGCGTCTGCTCCGAGTCCTCCTTACACGAAATTTCTCATCACTGCAACAAAACATGCCTCCCCACAAGTCGAGCACAGCACGCAATACTCCGTGGCACAGCTCGGAGACGGTTCCTGCGGTGAGGGGACGGACCGACAGACCGACCATGCATCTGCGTCTACTTGAAGCCACGACAGCTCTTACTTTCAGCCATGCTCAAATCACTCTCAGAATCTGTTCCTCCATGATTGGGCTGTGCTCGGGTGTGTCCCCATCTTTGCTGCCTGAAGGAGACGGCGGAAACAGGCAAGGCTGGTGTGGAGAAGATGCTCGCAACCTCACACACCTGTCCAAAGCATTCCACAGCCCTGTTTTCAACAACGTGCTACCAGTGTCGAACCCCCAATCCGAAAAAAAAACGATGAGTGCTGCCTGGGCTTGGGCTTTCTTTACCTTTTGCCCGCTGCTCGCGGAGCCACTTGCGAAATGCCTGGAGTTTTGCAGGGCAGTGGGAGCCATGGGAGCCATGCACACTGCAAATTCATATGACTGGTGTCCATCTTCATTACATGCTGTTGGCAGATCCCGACGCCTGACTCTGCCGGCACCGCTCCTCGCGTCGCTGCTTGTACTTGGAGTCCTTCAGATGCGCAGGAATCCAACTCGCCCAAGGATACCCTCCTGTTCAAGCATTCAGCTCGAGGCATTGAGGGTATCTGAACGGCAACACGCTTGTTGTGTCGCAAACGGCCCAAGCCTTCAGAACATCCAATTAAGTGTGACTGCAGGCCTTTTCAGTCCGGACAAGAGGGTATGGGCGAGTCCGCAAGCTTTGGTGTGAGGTATCCAACCCAATAAAAACCATCCGCGGGAGCTGCTTGAAAATGATGGTCGATGACTGGCCGATCCTCCGGCTCGGGATCCGGAGAACGTGGTGTGGCCGAGCCACTCCTGTCCAGCCCGTCGTTTGGACAGTGGCTTACATGTGATTAGCCTCGCGCAGCAGTATGATCTGAGCGTGGGAAAAAGCGAGAAACGAAGTAGGAAGCACGGTCTCAGGCATTCTGCACAAAACACTTACTCAATAGCGCTCTGCAAAGAGCCCTTGCGACACCTTGCAGTCAGGAAGCCAGCGCCGCTTCCGGAACCTTAGGGAGATGGTGTTGCCGACTGTGCTCAGCTGCATCCCTTTTGCTCCCGTCGAGCTCTGGGCCCATGCTGGGTTCCGCTCGCTCTTGGGGGATGGACTGCCGCGGGGACCTCCCGGAAGCTCGTCCACTAATTACACTTCCGGGCCAAATGTTTTTTGGCTAACTTGGCTTGCAGCTGTTGCGACTGTAGAATGGACCACCAGTTCCACACGTAACAGGCTCGATGCTTGATTCTCACAGTTGATCACTTGACATGTTATCGGGGATTCCACTCTGTATGCGTCACCATGTGGTGCTGTGGAAACACGTACCAGAATGCCCAGTTCCAGCTTCCATTTAGCCCGAATTGGTCAACACTTTGTACATTCATTTCAGGTAGCACGTAGCAAGCTGGTCGGCATTTCATCTGCATGCATAGTCAAACATCTGGCAAGGAAGCAAAAGAGATGCGATCGCCTCAGCCGTCATACGTGGTTGGTGTGCATGACCCACGGACAGGTCTACCCGACTTGGTCAACACATTGTGCATTCATCTCAGGCAATACGATATGCGCGATATGCGCAATCTTGTCTTGTGACGGCTGTGACGATCACATGCCAGTTCCAAGTCAGACATGACTGACACTTCCGTATCGCAAGCTTGCATGTAACACGTGCCAAGCATCTTGCAAGCGGCAAGAGACATGAGATCGCCTCAGCCGTCATACGTGGTTGGTGTGCCTGACCCACCGACGGTTGTACCGACTTGGTCAACACATTGCGCACTCATCTCAGGCAATACGATATGCGCGACCTTGTCTTGCAACGGCTGTGACGATCATATGCCGGTTCCAAGTCAAACATGTTTGACACTTCCGTATCGCGAGCTTCCATGTTGCACGTGTCAAGCATCTTGCAAACGGCAAGAGACATGAGATCGCCTCAGCCGTCATACGTGGTTGGTGTGCCTGACCCACCGACGGTTGTACCGACTTGGTCAACACATTGCGCACTCATCTCAGGCAATACGATATGCGCGACCTTGTCTTGCAAC